AGGGGCTTGTTTGAAAAAACAGATTCAGGGCATTTCCCACCCAAGGGAACAGAAGGAGACCGGTTAATCAAGTAGACAGCAGTATTGACTGCTTCACCCCAAAACTTTTTAGACAAACCGGAGGTAGCAAACATACTCCTAACCTTATCTAGAACAGTCCTATTCATTCTCTCGGCTATCCCATTTTGTTGGGGAGTATAGGGCACAATTTTGTGCCTTCTAATCCCACAATCTACACAGAGTTGGTCCATATCCTTATTGCAAAACTCTAATCCATTATCGGTCCTAAGGATTTTGACCATCTTACCGGTTTGATTTTCTACAAGGGTTTTCCACTCCCTAAATTTCACAAAGACATCGGACTTATGCTCAAGAAGACGGACCCACACCTTCCTAGAAAAATCATCGATAATGGACAGAAAATATCTCTTACCCCCGTGGGTAGAGACACTAGCAGGACCCCACACATCTGCATGAACATACTCTAACACAGAGGTACACTTAGTGGGATTAGGATAAGGGGAAGAGGGGAATGTAACCTTATGCTGCTTGCCTAACACACAAGATTCACAGAAAGGGATGGAGGACACAGAATCCTTACCAAAACAACCAGATTTATGCAAAATCTCTAAACCCTTATTACTCATGTGTCCTAATCTATTATGCCACAAAGCAGTTTTATCAGAACTAACAACATGAGCAGAATCACAGAAAGGCTGAGCATGGTACACATACAAATTATTCACCCTTTTTGCCTTAAACAAAACAAGGGAATTTTTCAAAACTTTCATGCACCCATTTCCCCATTTACCCTCAAGCCCACTACCCTCAAAAGCAGCGACAGAAAACAAGTTATGACGCAAATCAGGGACATGCCTCTCATTTTTCATAGTAAACACAGTCCCATTATCAAACTTCAAGCATACATCACCCACCCCATGTATTTTGCATTTCTTATTATCAGCAAGAGACACAAAACCATCATTGCAAGAATCATAAGAAGCAAACAGAGATCTAAAAGGTGTCATATGATAAGTACAACCAGAGTCAATTAACCACTCATTTTCAGTCATGCTACTCAACACAGAATTTGCAAAATCACAGACCATAAAAACTTCTTCATGCAAGTTATTATCATCTACCACATTAGCATGTTCAGACTTCTTAGGATGGGGACAATCCTTAATGAAGTGACTAGAATTACCACAATTATAGCACACTCTCTTCTTAGACTTACCTCTCTTCTTCCCCGGGTCATTGTTATTGGTCTGGTTCTTATTGTTGCTACCCTTCTTATGGTTTCTAGATCTAGTCTTAGACCTACCCCTCACAAGCAACGCTTCACCAGAGTCCCTAGATTGACTGTTACTACCCCTCGAGTGTCTAAGGTCTAACTCCTTACTCCTTAACCCATTAACGACTATATCTAGCGTGATATCATCTCTACCATACTTTATGGCAGATTTGACGTCATTGTAAGAGTCAGGGATGACATTAAGCAACACTATGGGTGTGTAGTCATCTATGTGTTTATCGCCGGCTTGCTTAATGTTCTGAATAAGCTTGTTAAACACATCTAGGTTCTCATCTATGTCCTTAGTCAGGTCAAGCCTAAACCTAAAGAACTTCTCAAGCAAAAACAATTTACCAGGCAAAGAAGTATCGGTATACAACTTATCTAACTTGTCCCACAACTCTTTTGCAGAATCTATGATACCCACCTTCCTGAGCACTGAATCAGAAAGGTTTAGATAAATAGAGGAACAAGCAGTTTCATTCATTTCAACGCGCTTGGTAGCATCCTCAGAGTCTAAATAGAGACCGGTCATAGCTCTACAGACTTTCTGTTGGATCAACACGCATTTGATTTTCTGTTTCCAGATATCAAAATCTGTCTTTCCGTTAAATGGAAGCATGCCATATTGATTGACAGCCATATTAACCGGAAAGCAAGCACAGCACGCAAGAGAGTAAAAAAAAATTATCAGACTGTCAACCGGTACGAAGCAACTAGCACGAACAAGCCGAGAAGACCAATGAACATAAAGCTCGAGTACAATCTCCTTGTTCTTTCGTACCGTACGAAGCAACTAGCACGAACAAGCCGAGAAGACCAATGAACACAAGGCTCGGGTACAATCTTCTTGTTCTTTCGTACAAGCACAAAATTTTTTTTTTTATTTAATCAACAGACAGATAAATGATTAATTATAACCTATAGGGCTATCAATTGTACGAAGCAACTAGCACGAACAAGCCGAGAAGACCAATGAACACAAAGCTCGGGTACAATCTCCTTGTTCTTTCGTACAAGCGCAAATAGGCTAGAATTAAATCAACAAACAAAGAGACGGGATTTAAAACTAATCCGGACAGAAATATTTCCAACTTCGGACAACAAGTATCCAAACTAATATTCTTAACCGGAGAGTTTATCCAGAAAAAATCAAAATAAAGAATCCAACAAATGATTAAATTTAAACCGGAAGAAATATTCACAACTTTGGACAACGAGTATCTAAACAAAAATATTCTTCACCGAAAAAATTAATCACAAACCAACAAGTAATCGCAATTTAAACAAACAAGTAATTGTAATTCAACTTGAAATTAAAATGAATGAACTATGAATAAAAATCACACAAAGGATTAGTAAACGTACCTGGGGCCGGGCACAGCCGGCATCCAAGACCACGCAGGTCAGCAGCGGGGAGCGGGGAACAAAATAAATCCGGTGGCACTCCGGTACACCAAGGGTGGTTAACGTCAATTTACCTGAGCGGGGCCCGAGGTTGGGTTACCCGACTTACCGTAGGCAGCGTGAGCTGCTGTATAGGAGAAGAAACAGAGAAAGAACATAGAGAAACAGAGAAAGAACATATAGGAGAAGAAAGTTGAGGTATTTCTAAGGCTAATCTCAAGACTAACTTCCGACGAGAAGCGAGAAGGGGACTGGAACTGATCGCATACGGAGATGAACCTGTGCAACTCCGTTTGCCCATAGAGATGCGCACCCGGTGTCGCCGCCTAGTTTCCCCCATCTCCTCCAATCTTTACGAAAAGGGAGAGAGAGACGTACGACCATGATATCGATTCAACGGATATACATATTTTCATTTAAACAGACCTGTTGACTTGTGAATTTTCAGAAAGAAATTACACATTTGTGCCACATTACTCACCCCCTTACATTTTACCGGCTAACCAGTTGTGTACCGGTTAAAAATTGTATTTGACCGTTTTCTAAAAGTTGAGGGGTTTGATTGGATGATACTTAGGTATGAGGGCTTAATTGCTATTTTGGTAATAGTACGAGGACGTATTTGATAGTTTTCCCAAGATCATATTTTTCTTCACACAAATAAGTATTGTATCGACACAGGCAATTCATCGGCGAAAGAACCTGAGGGTGAAGAACTCTGCCAAAATTGTGTTCACAACACATAAAATCATTCACCAACAAATCAATTTTGTGTGGAGAAATCATGCCATCATTTTCCACAACAAAATCTACATAAACTTAAATTTAAATTTAATATAACACAAAGTAACATTCATTTTCATAACATATAAAATACATCTTTAAAAATAAAAGCAAATCTAAATACAATTACATTCTGAATAGAAGAACATTATTTTACAAAGTGAGTAGTTGCAACTTGGATATCTTGTGCTTTCAATCTCACCTTCTTGCATAATAATACTTTACAAATTCATAACATGCTCAATCTCACTCACTAACGGCCTTTCTTTATCCTGTTGGGTGTGTCTCGGAAAAAACGAAGAAATATTAATTAATAAAAATAATTAATTAATCTAAATAGCTAAAGAAAAATAGAAATAAGATGGAACAGAGTTTAGCCAGAGCTCGTGCTACGCACGATGTCCTTAAAACGTATTCGTCACCTCCCACGGTGCTAAGAGCGTTGCAACGACCGTTTCCCAGGATACGGTGGCTAACGAACTAACGTTTGAGCACACAAATGAGAGTTCTGGTGAACGGGAAAAAAGGAGAACACTCAGGAAATTTCGGAGTAGCTGGAAGTGTTTTAGAGCTCAAAAATACGTGAGGAATGTATTGTGTGTTGTGTCTTGTTGCAAAGCACCTACCAGCTATTTATAGGAGGATTTGTTGTGTGTTAAATGTAGTGTTAATGGACCTGAACGTTGGGCATCAATGACCAGTCTGTTGGGCATTGAATCGTCCATAAACTGTCCATTTAACGCAGCATTAAAAGATAAGAACGTTGGACATTTATTGTTGTAACGGTCCAGAAGACCTCCGGGTGCGAACAGAATACCTTGAGGCCTTCTGATGCAAACAGAATACCTCGAGGCCTTCTGGTGCGAGCAGAACTGCTCTGTGGCCTTCTGGTGCGACCAGAACTGCTTCGTGGCCTTCTGGTGCGACCAGAACTGCTTCGTGGCCTTCTGTCCAAAAGCCACCAGAAAGCCTCAGGTCTTCTGGTCCAACAGAAACCCCTCTCAGGTTCTCTGGTCCGGAAGCCAACAGAAAGCGGAGCAGTTCTGGTTCCGAGAAAAATTAAAACGTTACGGGAAGAACAAAAAATTAAATCGTATCTTTAAATGATAGATTTTCGGACGGCATTCGTGACCGCAAGTCGCCCGCGCACACGAGTCGCGGTTTTTCTTCTCCGTTTCGGGATTTTTTCAAACCCGATCAAACCAATTTAGACCAGATCAGATTAGATTAGATCAGACTAAAAATTTCATTCCAAATAAAAACATCACGAGGAACATCCTAAGGATGTTTTTACTTGAATTGTATTTTGCTGGTCCGGTCTGATCTATTTAAGTCTGATCTGGACTCATTTGGTTTGTTTAAGTATGATTTGATCTGGTTTGGTCGGATAAATGTATAGTCTCTTTATATTTTATAACTATTCAAGTCTGATTTAATTTAATCTGATCAGTTTAACTATGATGTGATGAGCATGTGTGTTTTAAGTCATGGATCAAGAAATCCGTTTAAGTCTCTTTAAGTCTACGAAAAAATAGATTTATTTGGTTGCATTTATGATACATGCTTCTAGTTCGAGCCCCAACTTCTCCAGTCTGTAGCCCCGCGCTTGGTGTAGCGTTCTCAAAGAATTTGCATAGGAATGACGGAAAGCTCGGCGCTTGAAGACGAAGCGCCCTCTATTACAGCTCTCGGATCTCTGTTTAAGCTCACTGAAGTCTATCTATCGTACGTTTAATCTACAATTTCTCCATACGAACTGTCCCTTTTCATTTAAAAGTACGGTATATCCTAAGCCCCCAGAGTTATTAGAGCTAAATAAATATCTTCACTTGCAGGGATAATACTGTGGATGATGTTCGCTTATGCTCACCTTCTACGGAAGCTTCGGTAAGCTATATTAGGGCGTTAGGTTTATGTTTCTCTACATATTTCGATGGGGCTGCTTAGAGCTGATTGCTGCAAGGACGGATTCAAGATTCGAAATTGAGATTTATGTCCAAAAGAACCCAGTATTTTAAGTGATCTAAATTTTCTTTTTTTCTTTTTCACCAAAATTTTGGTGAACCCTATACTTTAATAATTGTACTGCAAGCACAAGTTCTGGGATGTCTACTTATGTGTTAGGCATCTATCGTCTCTCTCATAGCCAAAAGAATGAATCTTTTCCTTCTCTATCCAAAACGAACTTAGTTTTCATGGATTAAGTTTCACAATTATATTCTAGCTTCTTTAGATCAAGATTGTCAAGTAATATTTCGAGTCCTTGATTGAGTTCTTTTTTATTTTACTTATCATATTCAAAACTCCCTGAACTGTTAAATGTTGATGCATCTATAATTGAACAATTTATCCATTTATATATCAATAAATAACAACGCTCAGCGAATAAAATCTCCTGGTTGAGGTTAAAGCTTTTACGGAGGTTTAACTATATCTTTGGTGTTACTTAGGTGATGTTTACATTTGTTTGTGCTAGTGAGAAGTGATTGCTTTTAGAGGTTATAGTGAAAGTTTAATCATGAAAGCTGGTAGTGTTGGATAGAAAAGTATTTTTTGGTGTATTATTTAGGTAACACATGTAGAAAAAGTGAAAAACAGTTTCAATCACCTCCCTTTTTACAAATTTTAACTATAACGTGCTTACAGTTAAACAGAACCAGCTATTTGAAAACAATTTTTTTTTTTGTTTTATTATAAGAAAAACGCACAAAAGTGTTTTTTAAAGAAAATGCAAACACTATTTTAGGAATCTGTCTCTTCCTTTTTTAGATGTATCGTAAATATATAATTTTTAAATCATTCTTCTTTATAATTGAATATGGGCCAATATATTTTCCATCATTTCCAATGGAGCCAAAGACTCACTATTTTTTGGCTTGAAAATATGATGGAATCGTGGAATAAAGAAAAATGGCTCACTAAATTGTCTACGCTTCTTTGTTATGAAGCACCACCCAGTCCATGCAATTTTTGACGCGATTTTCATCATGTGTCATCCGAAAACAGTCTCTTACCCACCATAGGTGGGAGCCTTTGCTGCGCTGGGGGTAACGTTGTTGTTGTTGTTGAAGAAGTTGTAAGAATTGTAAGATATTGAACTTATATACTCGGAAAGGGGTGTGTTTGTATGTATGGTAAAATTTGTTATGACCACCGCCCCTGAGCATCTCTTAAATCTGTTCCTGATTGCTCGAAATGAAAGCAATTGGTGAATTTTAGCTGTCTATTTTGATTGACCTATTCCTTTTTTCTGCATAGAGAACCATCACTGAAGATGCTGCTGATTCAGATAATTCAGAATTTCACTTCTTACCAGAAGAAGTGGTGCTTGCCAAGTTGATGAGTGGAATGGGGCTCCCTATGTCATTTCGCACTAAGGAGGTATCATCTCAATTAATGGGTTTTTACTTGCGTTCTTTCTTCATACATTTAGGTTGACTGTGATGCTTGTTTCAGAATTTTCTCTATTTGGTTTTACTAACTCCTGCTTTAGGAATTGTGAACATGGGAAGTATGCTAGTGAATTTGAAGGTCAGGATATTTTTAGGTTACTTGGTATCTGGAAATAAAATATCGTTCGCACTGCACTGGAGCAAAACTTTTCATACAAGGAATTCCCCAATAATTTATGGTGACTAATCTTGTGCAGGAAGTTTGCTTGAAACATGATGAAAGTCCTACAAATGTTCCCTTGTAATCGAAACCATATTAAGTTGGGCTATTTTTTTGTTTTGACACTTCCATTGTTTTTTCCTTCCACTGTGAGTAGTGCATGTAATGGGCAGCATAAGGTGAGATGTTAAGGAATTTTTTTTATCTAGCTAGATTCCATCTTCAATTCATCTAACCTTGTGACTATTTTTGTACCCACAGAGGAAGGGAATACTTGGAGGAATGAGAAAAAACAAGCTGAAGGATGTACTTCAGGAACACAACCCAAATCAGGAAGATGTGCAAGGGCCTTTAAAAGAGAAGGTGGGTGAGAATGCTTCTTCTGAAATTCCATGTCAAGCAAGTGAGTCATTGTCTTCATTGTTAATAGGAAGAAAGAGTGAATTGCCGAACTTTGATCCTGCAGTTGGTGTAGAAGAAGTTTGTCATCTCTCTGATGCAGCGAAAGATTCAATCAGCCCGATGTCATCTAGTGCTAGCTCTACAATTGATGACCCTATCACCATCATTCCTGGAAGTGACCAAGAGTTGAATTCCAAATCTTCGTATCATGAACTCTTATTAAAGGATGATAATGAAATTTTCTTAAAAGAAGATATTGGAGTTCTTGAGAAATCGATTTTAGATGGAATAGTTGGCACTACATATGATGGGAAGGGCCCGAAAGGAGATCAGATGGATGACTCTAAATGTTTGAAGCCCCCCTTTGCAATTGACCATGATGCTAGAAGTGATTTTGGTCATTGGGAGGTTTATTGGGATGACTTCTACTCAAGGAACTACTTCCATAATTCTCTTACACAAGAATGTACATGGGACCCACCTCCAGGAATGGAAGAGTTAGTGTATATTAATATCATTGATAAACCAACAGAGGCAAAGAATGATATAGCTGACATGGATGTCACTTTTACTGGTTTTGAAGAATCTGCTGATCAACCCATATTTTGTCATCCACAACTTATGTGTGACTTGTCAGAGGAATACATAGGTGATGATAAATTACTAGATCAACAGATTCATGCTTCAGTTGAAGATGAACTTGTTATTGAAACTATCTGTCATACCAGTTCCGAGAAAAAGAAAAGAAAATCTAGGAGAGCAAAATCCAAAAAGAAACTATCCATACAAAACGGAGGTATTTGTTCAGATCTCTTTTATTCATTCTGGCTACAAGAAGAATGCATTATATCTCATTAATCATTCTCTTTTTTTTCCTACAGAGTTTCATTCCCCATTGATAAATGAAGGCCTAAATCGTGGTTTGAGTAAATACTGGTGTCAAAGGTATAGTTTATTTACAAAGTATGATGAAGGTATACAAATGGATGAAGAAGGATGGTTCTCTGTTACTCCAGAGTCCTTAGCAAAGCATCACGCTCAACGTTGTGCTGGTGGTACTGTAGTTGATTTATTCACTGGAGTTGGTGGAAACGCTATCCAGTTTGCACACAAGTGAGCATTTTCTGTTACTCCATATTATCTTCCTACAGTTTAAAGACGTAATTTTTCAACAATCCACATTGATGCTACCATCCCAAATCTGGATGTGTGGAAAAGATAAAGACTGTCACACTGAAATTATGTATTTGCTTAGAATGTTACGAGCTGCATTAATATTGATTTTAGCACCCTATATTTTTACTCTTGCAATCTGAATTGTGAAGATAAATTGCACTGAATATTGGATCTCATTTTCTATTCTGGCCAAGTGTGTTTGTCTTTTTTTAGACAATGTTGTAAAAAGCATTAGATGGCCCTCTGTATAGCAGATTGAGAGGCCCAGGCGGGTTAAATGACTAGGCACTACGTAATCTGGGCTGGACAGTGTTTTTAACAACAGTGACTGCAGTTTTTACATTGATAAATTTGCAGATGCACTTTTTTTTATTGATGAAATTGTAATATTGCATTCGTTATTCATAATGCTACTCCGTATGTATTATGCAGTTATGTTTCTCATTCTTGCCTTTTTTTTGAAAGTTTAAGTTTACCCGTATGATGAAGTCCCTTCGACATCACATTGTTGTGACTTGTGAGTTACAAGAGCACATTTGTGCTCTATCATCTTCATTACTTAATAGTACGGAATAGTTTAGTACTTTAGTTTTTTAATTATTATTAATTTTTTTTTACTTAACAAGAACGAAGACTTGCACATGGCAGAAAACATTAGATACTTTTACTCTGCTATTTTCTTGCTGCATTAAGCTCTAGATATGGTTACTATAATTTTTTATATGAAATTTTCTAATATTATTCACTTTCATTCCTTGCCCTTTTCAGGTGCAGACATGTAATTGCAATTGATATTGATCCGAAGAAAATTGACTATGCACAACATAATGCAGTCATATATGGAGTTAGAGACCAAATAGACTTCATTAGAGGAGATTCCTTGATATTGGCTCCAACGTTGAAGGTATTTATTTTCTTTGTTCATTTCGGTAACAGATTGATTAAATATATTCTACATAACTACTTGCTTGACTACTTCTTATTTGATCATTATTTCTACATAGATTCAGAGTTTAAGCGTTGAGATTTTTATATTTGCTTCAGTGCTTCTGCCATACGGAATGTCATAGATAGTTAGACACCATGGACAAGGGGAACAAAACCAGTGAGAAAATTAGGTAATTCTATTAGCAATTTAGCATGTATTTCGTTTTCATGATGGGTCATCCATCATCAACACAATTTCCTGGATTACACTAACCATTTTGATTGATATGTAATTTATTTCTTACCCTAATTATAGACTTCATTTAACTAACTAAAAATAAACCCTCTTTTAGAGAAGAAAGCTAGTCTTACCTTCTAAGAAATTTGTCCACTGGGGGGGACATCTTGTTGGAGAGTTCTTTTGGTGATCTTGGAGAGTTTCTTTGATGCTCTTTTTCTGGTTTTTATATTCGTTCTGTTTAATAGCTTCACTGCTCTTTTTTCCGTCATGCACGTTTTTAAATATGGTTGGACTTCTGTAATGTATAAGTGGTAATGCGATATGCAATGATGCACTTTTTGGGACCACTTTTTCATTAGATGTCCCTGTATTCACAGCTGTGCCGCTGCATGTTAGTGTTGAAAAGGTCTCATCCTTCTTCTATTTGTTGGTTTTATTGCAGGTAGATGTAGTTTACATGTCGCCACCATGGGGAGGACCTGATTATGCTAAGGTTAAGAAATTTGACATCAAAACAATGCTGAAGCCGCATGATGGGTTCGTTTTCTAGACCGGCTGTAAATCTCTTTTATGATGTTTTGACACATTTGGTATCAATACTTTGTGGGTTGTATCATATTGGCACTAATTATTTTATTTGTATCATATTGGTTTCAATTCCTTCATTTGTTTCCAATTGGTACCAAAATTTTGTAAAGTTTATCTACATTTAGACATTACAACACTATTATATGTGTAAAATATTTTCAAACCTTAAATGAAAAGAATGAAAGATATACAGAAGCTTTCATAATATCCAAATACTTCAATTATTTTTTGCAAACGGCTACTCTATAAAAATCTTTACTAAAATATCTTTTTTTTGAGGGAAATCTTTACTAAAATATCTGAATATCCTTGATAATAAGAAACAAATATTGTTTATCTTCTTTGTATGGCAATGCCGTTAATGTATGAAATTATGGATAAATATATTTCAATATTTTTTTATATTTCAAACATTTTAAACACATAACTAAAAACTCTAAGAATTACATAGTGTTAAATAATTTTTGAAATATCCATAAATATCAAGATATACCAAACAATATTTTCATAGAATAAGGTACAAACATGCAAAGGGGTCAAAAGTTGTTCTTTAAAGTTATCCATGATATGCAATATTTTTTAGTACATAACAGTGGCTATATTTGCGGTTAAAACTATCAAGATATATAGTTGAGGAGTTGGAACCTATATGCTTCATTCCTAAAAAAACGTAGTATTTGTGTAAAGAAGATACAAATTAAAGAAGGGAAAATTCCCAAAACAGGAGTTAAAACGTTTCGAAATTTCCAAATAGGAATGTCATGTTTTTATTCTCTAAATAGGAGTAGTTACTGTCTAGCGTAGAAAATATTGCCATATTTGAAGTCTGATAATGCCATGTTTTGCCAAAACATGGCAGTAGTTACTCCTATTTAGGGATTATAAATATAGCAATTCTATTTTGGAATTCACGAACGTTTTTACTTCTATTTAGTGCAATTTCTTAGTAAGGAACTGATACCAATACCTCCAAAATACGGGTACAAAATAGGTTAAAATCTAGACTACCACTTTTGTTACCTTTACTTTTTCTACCGTTTGAAACAATTGGTCTTCTATTTCTTTGGGTATCTTTCAGGTATTTTCTCTTCAATGCTGGCATGAGAATTGCATCTAAAGTTGTCATGTTCCTTCCCAGAAATGTAGATATCAATCAACTGGCTGAGATTGCTTTATTAGCCAATTCATCATGGTCGCTAGAGGTATTTTTTATCAATATAGTGAGGAATGTGTAACCATTTTTTTTCATTTGTCATTCATGATCTTTTCTATCTAGTGGCGCTTAGAAACCGGGTAGGCAATAGGGAGGAGACTGGCAGGTCTCCGATATATGGGGGAGTAGGAGATCCACAAAGTGTTAGTTCCTATGTCAACCCGTTGTTGAGACTTGAAAAGAGTACTCTGAGTGCTTACTTTTGTCCAAATAAAGAGAAACCACTTTTACTCTCATCTTTTAGTACTCCGTATTATTTTCCTTAACTTACTAAAAACATATATTTCACTTTTTAAATGTTTTGTTAGTAGATAATTTAGTCTATTTCCCAGTGATCTATCAACAACAACATCCAAGCCTTGTTCCCAAAAGATTTTGGTGTGTCCAATGCCCAGTGATCTATATTCTCGGGACATATTTCACAATCATCAATTTCATTTACTTCAGTCAAATTTTACTTTGTTTCCACTTGCCTTGTTTCCTGTAGCATCGTTATAATTAGCTTGGTAACTGGATGAATAAATTATTTGCTCTATGCTTTGGCCCTTCCTACCTTGGGCTGTGTGGTCTTAGGTGGAGAAGAATTTCTTAAATGGCAAACTGAAGGGAATCACGGCATACTTCATCAAGTCTTCCTCATAGCAGACATGCAACTATGCAAGTCTACGTCTACCTCGAGCCTACTGTGGACAGCATTGGCACTTTTGAATTAGAGAGAAAAGCCCGCTCTTTACGATTGCTGTCATTTTACCACCTCATCCCAAATTCTCAATTAGTTTGGTTTAGAAGCCAGCTAGCTCATCTTTTCTTAATTTCGCCTTTCCATCATCATCAGTGTTGCCTTTTGGCGAGTATGATCTCCCTGGAGTACAAGGTTTGAGTTTCTTGTACTGTTGTAAATATGTATTAACATAAGGTTGCACACTTTTGCAATTACATCTAATTAAATATTATGTGGGAGCAAAAATTAACTTTTGTGGGAGCAAAAATTAACTTTTGTATGTATCAGCAAACAAAAACTTTCGTATGTTAGCAAACACACTTTTACACACTTCCCTGATGAGTATTGTCTTTATGTTTCAGCAAGATTAAAAAACTTCCTGGCCGGTTAGCAAATACAATTTTTCTAAGCATCCAGCCGATTAAAAAAACTAGACCATAAACTACATCTTTTTAAAAGGGCTGAAAGATAATAAATAGAAGCAGATGAAAGAAAACCTGCAATTTGGAGGTAGACTTGCTGCAGAAGGTTGATTGCAGATAGAGAAAACCAGACCAAGAGAGTGTAGGGTTTTTATTATACGTAGTATTGATTATTGAAGGAGACGGGCATGGAAGAGAGTGATATAATATTTCCGGAAATGACCTTTTGTGGATTTGATAATATCGTTTCTGTTTTCAAAAAACAATTCGTACTTTTCTGAAATTAGCCAATTTCCGGAAACGTGTTTTGTTTTATTTTTAAAGAAAAAAATGGAAACTTAAAAACTGCAGCGATACCGAACGAGCCCTTAGTTTCACAGTTTTCCATTTTTATGTTATTTAGTTTTTCTGATTCATTGGGGATTTGGGGGCAGGCTGTAGACTGTAGTCAAGGTATACACACTCGGCTGACTACTGGGTTGAAATGGGTTGAATGAGTATACAGACTATAAACAATTTCTATAGATAAGTTTCTGTATGCTTTTTTTGGAATTTTATCAATTCTGGACTTGAAAGATAAATGAACTATCAATTCGGGACTTGAAAGATGAAATGTATAAGTATAAGACTTGAATGATGGAAAACTATCAATCTAGGACCCGAATGATTGATAACTATCAATTTAAGACCTAATTTTTCATAAATTTTATTATTATTTTTATTTTAAAAAATTAATATTTAGTTTTATTAAACTAATAAACTTTTGTGAAGAAAATTTCATCAAATATTAGCAATGAAATTAATAAAAAAAATAAATAAATCAAAACCTATTAAATGTTAGGTCCTAGATTGATAGTTTTTCATCTTTCGGGTCATATATTGATACATTCCATCTTTCAGGTCCTGAATTGATGATTCGTCTCTTTCAAGTCCCAGATTGATAAAATTATGTTTTTTTTACATCGATAAATAATTTTTTTTTGAAATGTAGGATGAACCCGGCCTACTATGCCCCATACATCCGCCACTAGGGTAAGGCAGTTGTCGCTGCTGGGGGTCATAAATAACGATAGTGGTCATGGGATGATGGGGTGACATTCCTCCAAGGTTGAATCCCCAAACTCAAGGGTACCCCCATTTGCCCGACATGACAAGGCATATGGGAGATTATAAATTCCAGTGATTCAGTCAGTTCAATGATAGATTTTGTATCTATGCGTATCAAATGTTCAACCTAGCACACATGAATTGTAACTTCTACACGGCTGATGCGAGTTTCGATCCTTAGTCTTTTCTTCAACTTTCCTACTACTCAACTAATTGAGCTACTCGTGCAGGATGAGAGGTGACATGTTTATAAATTATAAATATGATGACACTCTACAACAAACACTTGAGGTTAATTGAGCTACTCGTGTAGGATGAGGGGTGACATGTTTATAAATTATAAATATGATGACACTCTACTACAAACACTTGAGGGATTTGTATGTGATATTATAAAATTGTATACATAGAAAAAATGTGAATACTACTACGTATTTCTTTCTTAAAAAATGTCACATTATGTGCTAAAAATGTCATTATTGTCACGTCATCTTCCTCACCTGCACCAAAGGTATTGATCCACACTTTGTTGATGGATATTATAGTAAAGTTAGAATAGCCTCATAGTATAAATATTGTATTGTAAACCATATTCCTTATCAATCTATTCATTTTCTTCTTCCTTCTTCATCTGTAAACAGCTTCCGCTTCCAATTCTGAAACATCACATGGTATCAGATTAATTCTTCAATCCTTACTGATCCTTTCCAATTCTTCTATAATTGATTCAATTGTTCAAATCGATTTACTTTTGATCGATTTCTTTCCAAAAACCCTAGAATCCACGGCTCTACCATTGACTCCACTCGAGGATCCTTCATCGCCGTATTACCTTCATCCAAGTGATCACGCCGGCCTTCGAATCATATACGAGACGCTTACCGGAGATAACTTTGGTGCTTGGAAGAAGTCAGTCTCTATGGCTATGGCGGTAAGAACAAGATGAGCTTTCTTGACGGATCAATTCAGCAACCAGATTCAGATAATGCTCTTTACCCCACCTAGTATCGTATCAATGCTCTTCTCCTGTCCTCGTTAATCTACTCTATTTCTCCTAGCCTTCACACTACTTTCCTTTATTTTACCAATGCTAAGGAACTTTGGGATGAAGTTCAACTTAGGTATGGTAAAAGTGATGGTCCTAGACTTTTTCAACTCGAAAAAACCCTAGAAAATCTTTCTCAAGGCTCTCGAAATATTACTGACTACTACAATTCTTTTAAAGAGCTTTGGGATGAATATTCTGAATTCAGAGTTATTCCTTCTTGCACTTGTGGTCAATGTACTTGCAAAATTTCTGAAACCTATCAAAAATTACTCAGAAAGAATCTATTCTAAAGTTTCTTGTTGGACTGAATGAATCTTATGCAAATCTCAGAAGTCGAATTCTTCTTAACACTGAAAAAGCCACTCTATCTAGTGTCTACTCCATTTTGTTGCAAGAAGAATCTCAAAGATCTCTCCAGTACCCTGTTTCTTCCACCAATTCTTTTTCAGAGCCTTCTGCTTCTGATAATGTCAATACTGATGCTACTGCTTTTCTTGTTAAAAATTTCAAGAAAAAGAATTCTATTACATGTACTCATTGTGGCTATCAAGGTCATTCCTCTGAAAAATGTTTTCAAATCATTGGATATCCTGCTAACTGGAAAGGTCCTAAAGGCCAGAGAGTTGCCCCCGGTTTTAAACCTCACCCTAATTCTAACAACAATCATCAAGCTCACATGGTGACCAACTACCCTGAATCAAATCCTCTCTCAACAACTTCTGCTACCACTGATTTTCTTGATCCTACTATGTATGAAAAGTTTCTTCAATTCATGCAAACTCAACAAACTAAGACTGCTTCAGCTAATGTGGTTATTGTTGCTACCAATGCTGATCCTCCTGATTCTTCAAATGAAACCAAGTTCTTAGGTAATCATTTTGCTTTCAATATCTTTAAAAATTCTAATTGGATACTTGATACTAGAGCATCTGACAATATGGTTTATGATGATTCTTTGTATACTACTCCAACTAGAAATATTTCTATTAATATTCAATTGCCTACTGGTAAGTTTATTTCTGCCACTAAAATTGGTGACATTAAACATGAATTCTTATCTTACGTTACATAATGTCTTATATGTTCCTAATTTCACTTATAACCTTATATCTATTTCTAGTTTAACTTCTCATGATAATATCTCTTTTTACTTTACTTCTAAACATGCTATATTGCAGGACCACCATACACACAAAATGATTGGCTCTGCTGAATTACAAAATGGCCTATATCACTATCATTCTTACTCATCCATTATACATACTTCTTCTGTGCATTCTGCAAATAGTCAACATAATGCTTATTCAACTGATCTTTGGCATTATAGATTAGGGCATTTCCCTTTTAATAAACTTTCTTTCTTGTCTGATTGTAATGTCTCAAATACTGAAAAACATTATGTTCCTTGTGATATCTGTCATTTTGCTAAACAAAAAAGACTTCCTTTTCATATTAGTGCTTCTCATGCTTCTAATGCTTTTGATTTAGTTCATATGGATGTTTGGGGTCCTTATAAAGTTACTTCTTATGATGGCTTTAGATATTTTCTAACTATTGTTGATGACTACACTAGATGCACTTGGGTTTTCTTACTTAAAACAAAGTCTGAGGTTAAATTTCACATGTTGAATTTCTACAAATTCATTGAAACTCAATTTCAAAAGAAAATTAAAATCATTTGAACTGATAATGGCATTGAATTTTCTTTTCCTGAATTCTATACTTCTAATGGTATTCTTCATCAACTGTCTTGTGTTGAAACTCCTCAACAAAATGGTAGAGTTGAAAGAAAACATCAACATATTTTACAAATTGCTAGAGCTCTTTTATTTCAATCTTGTCTGTCTATATCTTTTTGGTCTGATTCTATTCTTACTGCTATTCATATTATTAATAGATTACCTACTTCTGTTCTTCAAAACAAATCTCATTATGAATTACTATAACCATCCTCCTGATTATACTTATTTAAAAGTTTTTGGTTGCCTAGCTTTTGCTTCTACTATTTGTTCTAATAGAACAAAATTTGATTCTAAAGCACATAAAAGTATTTTCATTGGTTATTCTTTAGGATCTAAAGGATACAAATTATATGATTTAAACACTCATAAAACTTTCATTTCTACGAATGCAAAGTTCTATGAGATGATTTTTCCTTATAGACACAATACTTCTGAAAATCATACTGATTCAAATTTCATTTTTCCTCCAAATAATGATTCTGTTACTGAATATCTGAATACTATTCCTCATACTTACTCTCAAAATTACATAAACAATGAAATCAATAATGAACTTCATCTTTTTCAATCAAATAATATCGATTCTATTACTAATGATTCTTCTAGTACTTAAGAAACAGGTACTGATCAGAATGATCACAACATTCCTGAAAACAGTTCTCCAAGGAAATCCACAAGAGTAAGATCTGTACCTATTCATTTAAGAGATTTTGAATACAATTTACCAAACTCTATTATTCCTAGTACTTCTCACTCTTCATGTAATTTTATTAGATTTCCTATTCAAAATTACATTACTTATGACAAACTGAGTTCCTCTCACAGTCTCATCATTGTTTTACTGCATCTCTTTCAAAATTCACTGAACCTAAAACTTACAAACAAGCCATCAAATCTTCTGAATGGAAAAATGGTATGAATACTGAAATTAAAGCTCTTGAAAATAACAATAGCTGGACTCTTGTTGATCTTCCTAAAAATCAACATGTTATTGG